AATGTATATGCTCTGAAAAGTTATTTTTCTGAGAATGGAGGAGTGAAATACAACTAATATATAAATACTACTTAATAATTTGAGTAGGCATGTTTTATAGATATAAATATTACCAAAAAATAAACAGATTTAGGCAATTTCGGAATGTGTGCCCAGAATGAACATCAAGCCTGGCTTACTTATATCTATACATATAATTACACTAATATAGTAAAGGTTAAGGAACCAGTAAACGTAAGTTAAAAGGTTACAATGGATACAGCCAAGCTCTTATAATATCTCTTATTAGACTGCACGATAACAATAAAATTTGACTTTCGAACTCTAAGGTGATTTTGTTAGCCAAATCTCAACCTCTAGGCCAAGTGGTTACAAGGTAATCTATGCTTCTGTTTGGTAGATGCAAATTGATAGGGCCGCTAACGGCGTTGTTGGCAATGCTAGTCTCGGTTACTCGGACCTTACTTATTCCTCCCAACCAAATAATATTCAAATAGCAGACTTGGCCTCACCAATTAGCGAGGTCTCTCCTTTATCGGCATTTGGCACATTTGCCTCTTGAACCGTATCAAGCTTGGGAGAATTCAAACCACTGCATAATAAGGTGCTTTGGTGACCATCTGAAGGAGTTATGGCGACTACCGATTTCTGCCTGGCTGTTTGGCGACGCTCTTGTTTGGCCCGGCGTTTACGTAGTTTTCTCAGCTCTCGCTGACGCTCCCGAATAGAATTGCATCCAGGATACACGATAATTGCTTTGGGGGTGGCGTGAGTAGTTGAGATGTTGGTGGATAATCCAAAGCAAGATGGCTGTTTTGCAGCATTAGTCCGATTCCACGAAGGAATATTAGATAGCCCCGTTTGAATTGGGAACACTGCATATAATCGAGCCATAAATTGACCCGTGACGACGGAAACTTCTGGTGTACTATAGAATATAGCAGAGGGAAAATAAATTAAAAATCTATGAAAGGACGCAAATGAATGGAACAAGTAGATATGATAGGTCGAAGTAATATAAAAATAGATGGAATGATAGCAAATAGGTAAGTGGATGTGTAGATTATATGATCAAATTATACCAAATAAATTGTTTAATGGCTTGTTAACAAGAATGAATGGGTAAATATATTAGTAGAAAGATAAATAAGAATGAGGGAGAATTATTGCTGAATCGATAAAGGTCAAATATACCGGAGGCAAAGACATTAAATATGATAGGAAATAGTATTAGCAGAAATGGTCCAATAAAAAGTAAGCAAAAGCAAAGATTGCAATGTCTCCAGTTAATAAATGAGTAAAAATTATTAAATAACAAAACAAAAAGGCAAGTCCAGTACAAAGTAATCTCATATGAAGCTACAATGATTGACGAACTTTTACACTTGAACAGTGATGAAATTAGTGAAAAATATTGACACAAATACTAAGATTAGATAAAATAAATCGTAGATATTAAGGTCAAGATGGTATGAGCTTTTGTTTGGTCACAGTCCCCTTTAGATGTATAGCGTTGGTCTGACCTCGTTTCGAAACTTGGTCGGAGTGGTAGAGACCTTGTGGAACGTACCTAGTTCTGCATAGTAAACGATGGTATTCGTGACGATTTCCAGCATTAGACCGTCGACTTGGTACATTCCCAAGTAATCGTCAGAGACACCGTCCTTGGCACAGAGTTACAACAGTTGTGACTTCACTCTTCTTCCCCTTTTTGTCTTAGCTTCTAGTGCTGTATCCCTTTCTCACAACCCCACTTTACCTAAACACATCAGGGATTCCGAATCGAGCCAGACAGGATCCCAGAGAATGAAAGAATGAGGTGTGAATGAGAAAGACGATAAGTGGGTCAAGGGTCTGAAGCCTAAGGGGAAGATTCATAGGTACGAGAATTACCGGTCTTAAAATCATTGAATACGTCAACTGGGACTGGAATCGAAAGCTCAGACAGCCAGATAACCAGTGATTTTCATATGTATCAGAGAACAACTAATAAGCTGGGTCGATTGGGGTTAAATAAAAGCCAGAAGCCTGGACCTAGAAGCCCTGCCAACGGAATCTGAAACTGGTGAAGGCGATTAGGCTTCACAAAATGCACTTAAAGCAACACACTCTTAGGCGACACTGGAAGAAACGAGAAAATATAATGGTGTTGTTACATAAATGGGCCATATGAAGTGGGAATAAGAAAAAGGGATAAAACATTAGAAGTTAGGATAAAATGTGAAAGAAATGATGTTAAAAGGGCTGAACAGAAAATTGGTCAGGAGAATTGCCTTTATTTGTCACTTTTATCAGTTGTAATTGCGTCAAAGATGGCGTCTCTCACCGACGATGCAGGGAAAACGCCTGGTGATGTACCAGCTCTACAGATAGAAACTACAAATTATCATAACTAT